GACACTTTGATTTTAACTACAATATATAACATATATTTCTCAATCATTTCTTTTAATTTAGACGAAACTCTTTTCAGTTGGACTCTTAAAAATCAAATTTCAGCACTTGTTATCGATATTAGTACAAATGGTCAACGAACATCAACCGAAGATGTGAATGTACTTTTATTTATACATATTTTGACTGTGTTCCCTAATTTACGATATTTAAATTTTGGTCCATCTTCAATTTGGTATCAACAATTATCATATGATACTCAACTTTCAACAATGATCTCTTCAAGTCTGTTAGAATTACATGTATGTTTGCCAGACTTAATCGATTGTATTTATTTACTTGATGGATGTTTCAATCAACTTCGCACACTTCATGTTAATATTACTTACACTATGTCTTCAAATTCAACAATTAATAATAAGGTGGATTATTTTTAATTATTATCTAATTTATTTAATAAAATTAATAATACTGGTTTTTTTAGGAAAAACTACCTAATCTAAGATTCTTTTCGCTGCGTAGTAATTGGGATACAGATTGTTACGATGAATTAATTGTACCACTTCTAAATCGAATGTTAAATTTGGAAGAACTAAATTTATTTCTTCAAGTTACAGGCAGACAAAAATTTGTTGATAGTAAAGATTTAAAGAAAAATATCATCGATCATATGCCACGATTAAATAAATTTAAATTTAGTATTTGCTCAACTATTCAGCTTGATACTGAACTTGATTTTCCATCAAATGAAAATATTCAAAAGACATTCAGAAATTTTAAAGATAATCAAATTATTTCTTATGTTGATTATTTTCCAAAAGCAAGACAAGGTCAATGTCATATTTATTCATATCCATATAAATTAAAAAATTATGATAAAATAACAAATAATTTTCCAGGTGGATTATTTAAATTTGTTCGTGATGTATCATTATATGATGAACGTCCTTTTGAACATGAATTTTTTCTTCGAATTTCTCGATCATTTCCATATATGGAAAAGCTAACTCTAGTTAATCGAAAACAACAAAACAATAAACAATGCAGAAAATCGAAAAATCAAAATTTTTCAATTATTACATATCCTCATCTTATCGAACTTGACCTTCATAAAACTCACAAAGATTATCATAGACAATTTTTATTTGATATTACAACATGCTTACCAGATAATGTTCGTGTTTGTGTGGATTATCGACTAATGAAAAAAGTGACACATGATTTCAGAAGAAATATTACACGAAATAATTGTTCGAAAATAAGCTATGTATTTTTTTATTATAAATCAGAATTTCCTGAACATTTAAAAGACTATTTTCCGCGTGCGCGAATACCTTGATTTCCATGTCACAATAACCGGATCATTTTTAGCGGTAAACCGCGGTTTTATCTAATCTACTGGCTCAATGGTAAAACCGCGATTTACCGCTAAAAATGATCCGGTTTTTTTGACATGCGTTGCTTGTCATTTCATTATTTAATAAAATATGAACAATAGCTGATTGATTTACATATACATTTAAAACATTAGAAATGGAAATTCAAAATAGATTTCAAAAGGCATATATTGTTAAAATTTAAAATATGTTTATCTGTTTGTGCATATTTCTCAGAAAAAACTAGAACCATCGGACAGTAATAGTCAGCATCAAAAGAAAAGTAAATTAGTAGCAGTTGTCATTGACAGATTGAATGAGATAACAATGATTCCTTTTAATGAATGAGAATTGTGTTGATAAAACTAAGAGCACTACTGGCTCGATTCTTCTCTAATTAAAAAATTAAAGATGTAATTCGACTTTAAATAGATTACTGTACTTAAGAAATCTATTTTTCCTAAGAATCCAAATGAAAGTTTTGTTTTTTAATTTAACTCAAATACAAAATACTAGTTTTCTCAATCGAGTCTATTTATGATCATCTCCCTCGGCATTCAAGTTTATTCGACCGTGCTGAAATTTTGATGACAGATACTTAGAACTATTGTCCAGAAACAAAATCAGACGTATTTGCTCTCGGCCTTCGTATACAAATTCATCGAATCCTGAACGCCAACACCTCGGTGCTCGATCCAGTACTTTAACGCATTTCTCCATAAAAAACAATCGAGAGTATGGGTGTGAAATGTGCATGTCACCAGAGTGAAGATGTGAATGTTGATGATTGCTTCATTCACGCTTCACAGTAGGCAATTTCTATCGAGTACGTGGTCATGACTTCTTGTCTGTTGAAACCAAGAAGGAAATAGCTGATTCTAGGACACCTAACTCACACCCTCAATATCATCTTCGTTTCAAAGCATCAAACTCATCATGAAATCAGTCAATTTTGAATGCTATTTGTCCACAATCAGCTAAAAATGACGTTCTTGATTTTGAAAATATTCAATTTTCCTATGTGAACATGATAATTGAAAAGTTTTTCACATCTCACATTTCGTATAATCATCTAATTTTCAAACAGTAGTTTTATAGAAACCTGTTGAGACTCATCGATGAGGCTAGATTTACAACAATTTAAGAAACAATAAACAACATTAATAAATTCAGCATTTAATAAATGTTCATTTTTGGAAAGTATATTTTTCTCAGATGAAATAAAATCTGAAGTGTTAATAATATTGAAGTTTATTTTTCTATAAATTTGTTCAAATAAACTTACAGAAGAAACAAAATTTAACTTGGTGTTATTTCTATAAACCAAACTCAACAACATTATTAGAGAAGAGTGAACAATGAAAACGCGGATGAGAGTGCCGATTTAGGAAATGACTATGCTTGTGTATGTAGCTGTAAGGTGTCCGTGTATATGCGTTTGATGCATACCCGTACGCAGAATAACAAATTCAAACTAACCTCCTTCTTTATCGTTGTTTGTTATTAATAAAATTTAAAAAGAAAATAATCGAGTGTAACGTTTTGTTTTAATTTTGCAACGTTTTCTTAACAACTGTTAACTTCATCAGTGAAAATAGGAGAAACAAGAGAAGCAAAATTGTTACAAATAGAAAAAAGTAGATCCTAAATTTCAAGTACATTTCCGATAGAGAATAAGAAAATATAAACGTATAACTTTAAGCCACTTTTTTCTCTTATTTTCACTGATAAAATTAACATTGGTTAACGAAATGTTGCAAAATTGAAATGAAATGTTACACTCGATTATATTTTCTTTAATTTTCATTATTAAATGTATTTATCGAGTATCTAAACATAATGATACAAAAAAATTTGATTTTGTTTTGTTACTAATAGTAATATCATTACAATTCAATACATTTTCTTATACTGTTCTGAATTTGCACTACTAGTTTGATTGATTTAGTTCTTGTTTTCTTGTCCTTACTCGTTCAATTCCTTGATTTAGTGTTGAAATATTTCATCGAATAGCTGAAAAATAATATTTTCATTATAGTTAGAAACTTTTTATGTAGTTCGATGGTGAAATCCAATTCTTTTTCATAGTTATTTGAAAGCATTCTTCTATTTTTGAAGAATATTTCATTGTTCGTATTGTAGTATGGGTATGAGTAACATTAAACCTCCTTCTGTCACCCGTACATGGATACTATTACTATGTAGTTAGTTTTAATCTCACTAACACAAAGAACACTTCAGTGAATAGATTCGATTGAATGAATACATGAATTTATTGTTTATCAAACGTTGAAAAATAAGCTTACTATGGGAGAGAAAACTTTTTTCACAGAATAATTATCTATACTATTGACTAGACCAACTTTAGTAATTAATTATTTTCATAACGAATTGGAAGCATTTTTTATTGATCCAAAATATTCAGGAATATCGTGCAAAGCTAGGTTTTCAGTAAAAATATGTTGTTGATTCTTCTATTTAGTTGCATTTATACCTATAATATTCTCACATGCATAAGAATTCTGTTTGTAAGAATGAATAGAAAGTCGGAAAATTCCCATTTTCCTTCATACTGTAGAAACTTTGAATTACAAAAGAATGCAGTCAGTTGTGTAAAGAATGAGTCATTGTAAGAATCCAAATGAGAATGACATATGTTTAAGAATACATGCACACACACAATCGTCTTTTCAAAATCACATTTGGCCTATTCGGTAAACTAAAGTCTCGTGAAACAGATTCGACTACGTATTCATTTTCAAACACTTTTAACCATTTTACACAGTTATTATGTCGATCTTCGAACTTAGAAGAAATGTTTCAACCTCAACCAATGACAAATACCAAAAAGAATTCAATGCAAACCGATCTAACAAATATGGTAAGTTCTATATAAATCATCAGGTCATATGTGAAAGAATATTTTCTATTATTATCGACAATAATTCTTTATACTATATGATTTATTTTAGATACTCATCGACGAAAGTTCGCTGGTCAGTGTGTTGCCTACAAGTCTACTTTCTTCAAGTTTGTTGAAATCGACAAAGCTCGAAACTTCGTTTGATGTAAATGTCAATAATTTATCAAGAAATTTGAATACTTTCGACGATGACAACTTTTTAAAAACATTTTATAATGATGTCTTGAACAAACTTGAATCGAATGCTTTCTCCATCGGCGTCGTTTTCTTATTTTCTCAAACTAACAGTAGCGTAGTCAAATAAGCTGTAGAACAATCGACTAAATGAATGGTTAGTCTTTGTCTTAAGCATTGTCCTTGGTTGAAATGTAACAATGACATATTCACTGCAATTTATAGTCGATGACGAGCTTTTGTCTCACTAACTCTTCCGTCTTTGTTTACAGAAGGAAAAAAGAGAAAAATGAGTGCATAGTTAGAGCTGCCCATCTCTGGTCATCATAGTACAATGAACTGGTTTGTATCATCGTCGCATTGATGACCTTCAGTCTCATGATATGTTAGCTGATACGTTAAAACAATTGCTACAAATTTTTATTTCTCGATAATACTCTAATTTGATGAGTAACCAATTTTAACAATAACTTCTACATTGACAAGTTTTTAAGCAAAAAATTATAAATTCAAACAAAAGAAAAGTACTTTACAATCTAAGCTCCATTATTACTGGAACATGATCCGATGCTTTTTTAACATTTGATAATCGATAAATTTTTAATTTAAATATGTCCCATGCTTTAGAATTCATCAAAATATAATCAAGTGTTAGACTTAGGTTATTAGCTGGATATGTTCTAGGACATTGGTCACATGGAAGTCGTAATCCTCCATCCGTCAATAATAATCTAAGAGTTTCACTAGTCGGTATATCATTAAAATCACCTGCAAGAATAAAAGGTTGATTTTCTGGAACAATTCGTCGATATACTTCAATTGCTTGTCGTACTTGTGCAATGCGTAAGTTCTCAGTATCATATTCGAGATGTATGACACCAAAGAAAAGTTGGTATTGATTGCTTATTTTTAAAGAAACAATTCCGATCGAACGTGTCTCACTTTGATTTTGCCCATCAAGATGATGTTCTAATTCGATATTGTCGAGTGGATGTCGTGATAGAATAGCATTACCAAATTGTCCTTCATCAAAATTCATCGAATGAATGAATAATGAATGATTGAGATGAGCTAGTTGAGCAATTTCAGATGATTGATCAATTTTAATGCCTGATCGACGTGTAAACTTATCGACTTCTTGTAAAGCAACAAGATCTGGTTGCTCTTGTTCGATAACATATGCGACATCGATCATTCCACGAGATGTTTGACCACAACTAGCAATATTCAATGTCATTATTTTAAGATTTATCATAGCAGAGTATGGAATGAATATAGTTGAATTTAATGTTCTATTTTGAGATATAATTTTTACCTAAAGTTGTCATAGAAAATTATTATCATATAATCATTATGCTTGATATAATTCGTTTTCTGTTCTCAAACGTATGGTTTCAAAATAATATCTTTGTGGATACTTACTATGAATCGATTATTTAGAATTAATCCATTGACATAGAATATTATGGGTATAAAAAAAAATAGAATTAATAAAATCAAGGTCATTCCAATTGTAACATTCAAAGAAAAAGTACATATACTACTCTTCATCTTCTTGTTTTTCATCATCATTTATCTTATTATATTCATTGGGCTAAGCATAAAGACACATCAAACGTAGGAAAAAGTCAAATAGTAACATACAATGAAGAAATATAAACCAAATCTACAATAGTTCCATTTCGAGCTTTCAACAAAACAATGCTTGGTATCATCAGGAGAAAAAATGATACACATATGTCACAAAAAAAATAATTATTTACTTTTCACATTTTTTTTTGTCATTCATTTTTTTTTGATGTTCGATACAGCTTATAACTTGATAATTGCTTAAAACAAAATTACTATAAATTTGATATGAGCTTCATAGGAGTTGTTTAATCTCCAATGCTTTAGCAAACAGTTTCAATTTATTTGTGTGAATTAAAAGATCGAAACGAAATATAGTGTGACAGCTTTCATTGCATACAAATTTGATGTGATCAACAGCTGTGTACAATGTCAATGTTATATGTTCGCTGCATCTATTTTTTGTTTTATAAGAAAATAGAGCAAACTCAAAATAGATGCAAAATGAAATTCATTTTTTTTATAGAACAATCGAAATCTGATTTAAAAATTTTTCTCTCTACAACATCAATGATTTCTTTCGTTGTACAGAAAGTTCAACTGTCAAAAATCAGGATTCATTACAATTGTTGTTCTTTTTCAAAATTAAAATCATCATCTTAATTAATAATTATTTTTTTAAATTTTACGATGTAAGAAACTTTTAGGATTGAAAAATGATTATGAAAAATAAAGAACATTTCGTTTCCATCAGTAAACATCATAACAGGTCAAGATTACAGATAAAGTAGACGCTCTAATACTATTTTAGAATTTTCGATTCATCCTATGCAAATATGAAAAGTTACTTGCAAGATTTTCTTTTATTATATCTGAGTCTCATGAAGTAAAACTGAGATTTTATAATCATCCGATCATGTTTTCACTATTTGTTAGAGAAATGCAACGATTCTAATCGATTAAAGATCTCGATGTGAACGATTGTCGATAGAAGTATCTGGCTTTAACTCACGTACCGATACTCTATTTAAAAATTTTTTGCAACAAAACAGCTTAAAATACTGTCACTCACAGCCCCAAGGACGAGTTTACAAAAACTAACACATACAATCCTGATTTTGGTGCTCCAAATACTGAATCGCAGTTCATTTCTTAGAATTCCATGAGTTTACGATTTCTGCACAGTGAATATTAATCACTTGACTTATTTTTGCATAACGCAATTTTTGGTCATAATTATTTAATAATGATCATCGATACATAGCTGACAATTATGAAGATAAATAATGAATTTTTTGTTGAAGGCATAATATTCAAGATAAGATCATCTTTGTTTCGATTTCAATAGTTCGACCATCCACTATGTGCAATGAAATGTCAGTGGGCGAATTTCATGAAATACGACAACAGTATTATTAGCTCTCGATGCATTTTACTCAAAAAAGTATGAAAGCAAATGGCCTTCATACTAAGTTAGGTGTCCTTTTTATATGTACTATTTTTGATCATATGATTTCTTTTTGTTTCGTTTGAAAACATTAAATGCTGAATATGACTAGTTGGCTAAAATTTATCTTAATAAACTTTTTTAAGTAAAACATTCTTTTTATTTTATACCTAATCGACTAAGATGATGACATGATTAATATCTTCATCAGTGTCTGGTCAAGATTCCTATTTCTTCTCTTCTTGTTTTTTTTGCTCTTCTGTCTCCTTCAGCTTGTCTTCATCAAAAGTTGTTTCAACCTATTTTTGCTCTATCTATAGGAGCAATGTTCGCGCGCAGCACAAATAGAAACACTATACTATTACTAGTATGATCAATATTAATAGTTTCTTCTGTAGACATATTTTGCATTAATAAATGAGTAAAAAATATTATAATCAGGTTGTCCAAAAAGGAACATATTAATCGTTGGCTGCATTTTTGTCTTGTTAGCGTTCTTGTTATTCTTGAAAATAATAATTATTTTCTCAATGCATTCATATAGATCGAACGTAGGAGTTTATATTTTCGGACATTTCATTGTTTCATATTAGAAAAGGCTTAATGCCGATTGAACTGTAGGTTATTTTATAATACAAGGCCTATAGAAAAACATTTTGTGTTAGCAAGGAAAAGGAATGTCACCTTGCTTCTGTTCGTACTAATGTTGATGTCGATTTCGAACTAATCAATTAAATTAAATTCTGGATTACATCGAGTTTTTTTGGAATAACAGGATGACATTATCATTACTGATAGTTCGTAGTAAATAATAACAAATAGGATTAGAATTTATTTGATTAATATGAAATTTAAATCATGTTTTTATGATGATAAATGATGAATTATTTATATCTGTGAATATTCTTGATAAAAATTTTCCGCTTATCTTCTTCCATTCAAAAACTTAAATGATTTTTCGAATAATGCATTAGAAATAAGCAAAATTTTGTTCATGTGAACATTATTATAAAGTGAAATGAGTTATACTGATGATTGTTATTTAGAAAAGAGTTTTCATATATTCAAATATTTGAAAGATAAGTAAAACAAAGATAAAATAAAGATACTTGAATCTCTCATCATAATCTTTTTGTTGAATTTACCGTTTATCTATAATCTATAAACAGTCAAATTCCATAATAAACTCGAATTTTTGTATATTATTACTGATGACTACATGTTAAGTAATCGTTCAAACATTCAGAATAAATTTTGAAACTATACAAATTCGTAAAATCTAAAATTCTTAATATAGAACTTTTAACTTTGTAAATCTCCTTTCACTAGGCCTATTAAAAAACAATAGTTCCAAATCATAATATATCAATTAAAAATTTTCTTGTTTTGCAAATGTTAATAAAGTTAATGATTCAAGTATCCTTGATTGTCTTTATCAATTGTTGGATCATTATTGGATTTTTCTAACAATTAAAAATGATGAACAAAGCTATAACTATCGATCCATAGAGTCAATAGGTAATAGTATTTAGTGAGACAATTCGCCATGGAAAGAAGAAAAACCTTTTGTCACAATCATACATAATATTTCGATCTCTTCTGATACTATTTCATACTACAAATCGTATAGCCATATATCTGCTTCAAATTACCATCTACTGTTTTTCAGTCTAATACTAAAACAAAAGTTCTTCTATTTTCAAAAGAAAAACAACATGAAAGTTGTATTACTGAGTATCATGTTTTAATTTACAACACAAAAGAACATACGATAAAAAAGCTTATTTTCTAATATCAAGCAATCCACAGAAACAACTTGCAATCAATATTATCAAAGTGATGTATAATGCAAAGAAAAAAACAGATATACTTGTTGAAAGTTTTTTTCAATATTTCTCTAAGCATTTACAGATATGATTATTATCAATATTCATACTAAAAAAAAAAAAAAAGCTTTTATTAACTGGATCGTTAAAAAAGAAAATTATCTTTATTGATAGTGAACCATTTGTTCTATATCATATTCAAAGCCTTATATCTCAGGAAAAAAAACATATGCATTTTGAAGTAGAATAAAATTTTGAAAATATACATGAATTGCAAATAAAATCGAAATTTGGTTTATTAAATGCAAGAAACGAACATTAAAATAACAACATACTTTTTCTTCGAACCTATGAGTTACATGATCAATTTATGATTAGAATCATCTTTTTAAATTTTTCTTCAAGAAACATACTTTGTTCAGAATATATATGTCAGGATAATCAACAATTCAACCATCTAACTTGGCCTAAAATAAAAGAAAGTATCGCTTAACATTTTCTCTACATGTTTTAAACTGTGATCATTTCAGAAATGGTAGGTATTTGTTAGAAAAGAGAATATATATATATGCATGAATTTTATATTTTGACCAAAATCTAAACTAGATATCAACAAGATGAATTTCGGACTGAGCGAAAAGATCTTCCTATTAGAAAACTAAACATGTGAATCAATAAATACAAATAGCATCGAGTCTAAGTAAATAAATGTATTGTAAAGATTACCAAAGAAGTATGTCCTACTCTTCCTTGTATCACAAAATAGATTTAGTTACGACGTATATAATAAACCTACTCGGTTTCTTTTTATTCTTATCTGTCTCATTCTATATTCGAATCAAATTATATCTATGCTATGTGTGAGTTTCAGTCATTTAAGAGACATTAAATTCCAAAAAGTACTATTTGTCAATAACTCAGTATCAGCTATTTGTACAGCGAAATAAATTACGAAAAGTCTCTTCAGTACTTTGTTCTCTTTTAAATATCTTGTTGGTATATTTCCAGCAGTAGTGCCAATAAACGCGCGACACATATCGGTTGCGCTACTAATTATATCTTTGTCAAATAAAGGTTGTGGGATGGGTGTTGATGTAATATAACAAAAGATCTGCATCTACCCACATCCTTGAATTCAACATAAGAACCGATAGCGGAAATAAATTCCTAAGAATGTGCACGTTCTAGAATATTTTTTTTTCAACGATTTCGAAAATTGCAGTTTTATCTCTTTCAAAAGATGGTAATTATTGTCAATATTTGTTGTAAATCATCACCAAGAACTTTTGAAAAGATCCTGTAGATAAAGCTTGTTTTCAATATACAGCACAGTCAATCATTTATATATATATCTGATATTGATTTTACGGAAGAAATTTATTTCTCATTCATAAA